TTTAGTTGTTAATTAAGAGTCCTAGATAGCCTGAGAGTTATATTATGAGTAGGAATGGACTCGGGCCCGGTTCGGGCCTGGGCCCGGCCGGGCCTCGGTTCTAGGAAGGCAGGCCCGGAACCGGCCCGGATAACCCCGGGTCCGGTTCAGTTCGGGTCACCCACCCGGCGGGCCGGGCCGGGCCTATTTAAATTTTTTTTTTAATTATTATATAATTAGAATAAATCTTATTACAATTACAATATATTATATTCGAATTGAAGTATATTTATTTCAAATAAGAAGTACAATTGAGAATTAGGATGAATTTAAAAAATGTAATACATTTTGTAATAAAAAAATCAATCGGACTCTCCGCCTTCGGTTGTTTCCTCCATAAAGTGGCGGGAGGGAGTGATGGTAATTTCTTGAGTTCTTCGTTGGGCCTTCAACCAATCGTGAAAGCAAACTAGTGTCTCAAGAGAGCTCGGGCTCAACCTCGTTCTAAAATCGGTTAGGACGTTGCCGGCCGCACTGAATTCTTGTTCCACGGCAACGGTTGATATCGGCATTGCTAGTACTTGCTTAGCCATCTTTGATAAAATCGGGAATGTTCTTTCATTTTCCTTCCACCACTTAAGAACGTCAAAGTCATCACCAACTTCATAATCAACATTCAATGTTAGATACAAAGAAAGCTCGTTACCTGAGCTTTGTTCAGTAGCGGGAGTTGCTCTACTTTTTTTCAAAAGAGAACCAAAAGCGGATTTTAAAAGTGATTTTCCTTTAGATGAAGAAGATGTTCGTTGCATGGGAGGGGGTGCATTACCATATTGTGCATGAAATTCATTATACAATTGATGAAATAAATTACTAACCTCGTTGAATTCTTGTTTAGGGTCGATGGGATTATCATCGAACTCTTGAGTTGGAAAAAAAGAAGCATAATAGTAATCTATACAATTTGCCAAGTAAGGAAGTTTATAACGAGGATCAAGAACAAATGCAATACCATATATATGCGGAATATGTGAATAATATTTTAAAAACTTTTGTTTCATGAAATCACAAAAATAACTAACGTAAGCAGCGTCGGAAAATTCACAAAAAGCGCCGGCGAGATTAACAGCTTCAACAAAAAATTCGTTTGCGGTAGGTTTATAAACATGACTAAAAGTTAGAGTTGCGTTATTAAAATATGCCAAAACATTAACAATTTTTTCACAAGTGTCGATGTCAGCCGGGTTTATAATATAGTTACAAGTTTGTCTTAAAAAAGCTGGAAAATGATCTTTATATCTAACAAGTACTTGAATTAAATTATAAGTACTATTCCAACGAATAGACAAATCTTTAGGAAAAGCACAATAATTCACGCGTCTATCCTTCAAATATTGCCGCCATTGCATTTTTAGTGGAGTGTTAGCCCAAATCAATTTAATTCCCCCCTTCACTACCTCCAAAGCATTTCCTAATGCCGCTAAGCCATCTTGTACACACAAATTTAGAATATGACATGCACAACGTTGATGAAAAAATCTACCCATCAATGTAGAAGCACCACACAATTCACGTAATCTAGGTATAGCAGCAGTATTATTACTAGCATTATCAAAACCTACAGCAAACACCTTATCAATCAAATTATACTCAATTAAAATACGTTCAATGAGAATATAAATATTATCAGCAGTGTGACGATCATTGAATTCATGAAAAGCAAGAACACGTTTATGCATATTCCAATCATCATCAATATAATGTGCAGTTAGACCCAAATAATATAAATGATGATAAGTATCCTCCCATATATCGCTACAAATACTAACACGTCCATCAAAGTTTGCGAAATATATTTGTAATTTTTCTTTTTCCAAGTTATATTGCCTTGTAACTTCTTTTTTAATCGTTTTGCGACTATAATTTCTAAATTGAGGATTTAAAGTACCTTGAGCATAATCTCTTAAAGCAAGACTTTCGGAAAAAATAAAGGGTAAATTTTCTTCAACAATTAAATGAGACATACCAGTCAAATGTTTTTTATCATCATAGGAAAAATTACCAAAGGGTTGAGAATTTGCAAACCTTGATATTTGTGTTTGCTTCCCCTTTCCTTTGTCTATTTTCGCATACTCCACAACGTGGGTGGACTGAAGATGTCTTTTGAGACTCCCGTATCCGCCAGAAATTCCCAAGCTAAACTCTTTCTTGCAATGATTGCAACTTGCGTACCATTTTTCGGTTTTTTCGTCTTTCCTTTTTGTAAAATTGTTTTCAATAATTTTAGATTTAGATTTAGATTTCTTACCAATTTTGGTTGTAGTCGTTGAAGGGCCCTCGTCCTCTTCCTCATCATCCGGAGTCCCGTCGTCCCCCGCGTCCTCCTCCCCATCGTCATCCTCTTCCTCGAGCTCCTCTTCATCGATGGTTGTCGGGAATTGTCGTTCTTGTGCAAAACGTGGATCATTTTGGGACAATAGGTGTTGTAGTTCCTCGTCGGACATCATCATACCATCTCGCCGTTGGTAATCCGTTTCAAAATCATCTCGACTTTGAAAAGAAGACTCGGCCCGCGCTTTACCTTTGCCTTTGCGTGAAGTAGATCGAGTCGATGCAATCTCCCTCTTGCGGTTGCGTTGGAGATTACCCACATCTACAGAATGTCTACCTCGCTCCATATTTAAAATTGAACAAATATTAGCACTTAACTAATATGAGAAATGTAAAAATTAACTATTTTTGTTATTTTAATGAGATATGTAGCAATTAACTAATATGAGAAATGTAAAAATTAACTAGTTTTTTTTACTTTAATGAGATATGTAGCAATTAACTAATATGAGAAATGTAAAATTGTAGCAATTAACTAATTAACTAATATGAGAAATGTAAAAGTGTAGCAATTAACTAATTAACTAATATGAGAAATGCACAAATGTAGCAATTAACTAATATGAGAAATGTAAAAATATAGCAATTAACTAATTAACTAATATGAGAAATGTAAAAATGTAGCAATTAACTAATATGAGAAATGTAAAAATATAGCAATTAACTAATTAACTAATATGAGAAATGTAAAAATGTAGCAATTAACTAATTAACTAATATGAGAAATGTAAAAATGTAGCAATTAACTAATTAACTAATATGAGAAAATGTACAAATGTAGCAATTAACTAATATGAGAAATGTAAAAATGTAGCAATTAACTAATATGAGAAATGTAACAATTAAGTAGTTTAACTAATATTAATATGACAAATGAAACAATTAACTTTAACTACTTTAACTAATATTAATATGAAAAATGAAACAATTAAGTAATTAAATAGATAAACGAGAAGTGTATATATAAATCAAATGTATAACTATATATAGTATATATAAATATATAATGTGTAAATATATTATAAGTAATATATAATATAATGTATAACTATATTCTAAGTAATATATAATATAATGTATAACTATATATAGTATATATAAATATATAATGTGTAAATATATTATAAGTAATATATAATATATATGTATAACAATATATAGTATATAATATAATGCGTAAAGAATTATAATATGAATGTGTATAAGTATATATTTATAAGTAGATAATTAATATTATAATATATAAGTAGATATAATAATTATATAAATTATATATATGTAGAAAGAATTTGGAGAAGATGAAGAATGAAGATGATTGAATATGAGAGATTAAGAGAATAGAGAATTTAGATTTTAGAGAGTAGAAAGAGTTGTAGGTGTAAAAAATGTATAGAAAATAGGAGTATAAATAGGTTTTTTTTTGTATACCCCACCCCCACCCCCACCCCACCCCCCCTAACCCCCCAGACCCCCCTCCTATGCTCCCAACGGCTATAGAGCCGTTTGGGAGGTCTCCCAACGGCTATAGAGCCGTTTGGGAGGTCTCCCAACGGCTAGTAGAGCCTTCAAATTTTTAAAAATTTTTTTTTTTTTTTGTGACCGTTGAGGCCCGGACCGGGCCCGGCCCGGCCGGGCCGGTTCACCAAATTTTAAGCCCGGGCCCGAACCGCTACATGACCGAGCCGGGTGGCCCGAACCGTGACCTAACCGACAAACCGGGCCGGTCCGGGCCCGCACAGTAGCGGGCCGGTCCGGTTCCGGGCCGGTTGGCCCGGCCCGAGTCCACCACTAATTATGAGTCCTAGTTGTACTCTTATTTGATTTAAACATGTCTATAAATACCACATAGGGTATAGACATCTATTATGGCTTATTGGAGTTTTTTGAGTGCAGTTTTCACTTCAATACAGTTAATAACGTGACCTGCTATTTTTCATATATGTTGATCGGTATTTCCTCACAAAGGTTGTATTCCTTATTTTCAAAGGAAAATCGCATATATGGTTCCTCAGTTATCCACGAAATTAAAATCTCAGACTTGTATTTCTGAGATTGTAAATGTCACCCCTCAATAGTCCAAAATGTTGTAAATGTGGTCCTTTTGAGAATTTGAGGGGTGAAATATACAATGTGGGCGATGATACATTTCACCACTTAAAGGACCACAATTACAACAATTTGGACAATTGAGGGGTGACATTTACGATCTCAGAAATACAGGTCTGAGGTTTTAATTTCGTGGATAACTGAGAGACCATATATGTGATTTTCTCTTTTTTCAATTACCACACCCTTCTTCAGCCTACTTGAATTCTATACAGTTAGACATCGTTAAAATTGTTTTCGTTCTACTACTACTACATACTCCCTCCGGTCCTTAATGAAGTTTACACTTTGACTTCACACATATTAAGGAAATAAATTTGACTTTACTGTAGAGTATACTGTTTGCTGTAGATTTGTTTGCCAAATAAGGCAAATAAAGATGTGTAAAGTTTAATATGGGACAGTCCAAAAAGGAAAGTGTAAAGTTAATCCAGGACTGGAGGGAGTATTATACTGCATTTTCTGCAGTCTATTATGTGATTTATAGAAATCTTATCAATGCAATAAATAATTAAACGATGGAGTGAAAAATGTAGATGGACCATTTGAAAACGGGGTCCGGTTGGATGAACTTCATTGGTATGGATAGCCGTGGGAGGAACAGAGATAGGAGTCCTGTCTTATAGGAATTAGTGTGTCCTTAGCTCCTTAAATTTTCAAGGGCAAGACCAAGTTCTGTAAATAACAAGCTTATTAATAGCAATATTGCAGATTTGCAGTGAAGGATTCCACTAAGAAACTAGGTGGTACATCTAAGCACAATTCACAGCCTAACAAAGAAAAGAGCTTCTCCAGCATTATTATTCCGTAAGATTTGAACATTTTCCACCAGGTCAAAAATATGTGATACTCCGCGCATTTGCAGGGGAGAAAATTTTCTTGATGGCCGAACAGAGAGACTAGAGCTAGAGTTGAGACGACCGGTTAGCGTATTCCTGAACCAAAGACCCAAAGAGTGAAGGCCTCTCCAACAAGTGAGATGGCCGGTCGAACTCCTTAGCTTTACCTGTCCCATTAAAATACAAGAAAATGTACGGCTTAGCTAACAAGATATTTACTAGTATGTTTGTTTGTTCTATGGTTGAGCGATGTTGCTAAGTTTCTTTGAAGGTTTATATGATCAAATTAATTGTACGAGTTTCATAAATTATGAAGTGTCTTATGCAAAGAAATATATTTGTTTGGTCTGAAATAATTAGGAGATCAAGTCAATTTTTATTTATTCCTAGAAGATCACCATGATAGAAGGGGTCCAACATCTTGTCCTCTTTTTAATTTTATGAATAGGATTGATATTAAATGTTGTGCAAATTGTGTATGATATATAGAGATAAAATAAACCTCATATTAATAGGGTGATCTATGCCCAGTTTATTTCTTTTAGGCTGAGTCAGGATAAATTTAGTGGACCACTTAGTAGTGTTTGCTGAAAAACTCCAAGTAAGACATAAGTCGAAGCACTGACCTGCATCTATTACAAGAACGCGATCACAGTCCATGACAGTGGGTATTCTATGAGCAATGCTGATTATTGTACAGGAAGCGAAGTCTTCACGGATGATCTTCTGAATCACACCATCCGTCTGTGAATCAACGGATGCGGTTGCCTCATCCATAAACAGAAGTTTGCTTCTTTTTAGCATTACTCTCCCTAAGCAAAGAAGCTGCCTCTGCCCAACGCTCCAGTTATCTCCGTTATCAGCAACTATATTTGATGCAACAGAAAAAAGTAGAGAGTGAGATATTGGTAGATTATTATGGATCTGTTTGGTATCCAGTTCCATGTTACCAACCACACCAAACACAAGAAATAGAATAAGTAGCTTTTGACTCATTTGACTGAAATTGTTGCAAAAGTTTTATCTTGTTCAAAATTTCATGTCCTTTTAGCTATTTCAGCTAAACGGGCCCTAAATTTTTGCGTGAAAAGTTCATGACCAAGTTGACTCATATAATGATAAATTATAGAAGGCTTTTGTCAACAAAAAAAACACCTAGTAAAGAAAAGTAAGGAAAACATAGCAGAAAATTGCTATGAAAGTGGAAAAAATAAATGGTTCTAAAAATCATTGATTTTCGTAAATATTTCTTGATGTTCATTTTATTTACTTTTTTGATAAAATAAAGACTTAAGAATAATGTAAATATAAAAGAAATCATTTTTCTTTTTTACTTTGCATTTTCCAATGTAAATTTCCCCCCTTTCCCTAGCATTTACTGTGATCCAAGCACACACTTCAGTAAAGAAAGGAAACGAGATTCTAGGAAATAATTGTACCAGGGGAGCCAAGTTTCTCAGGTTTAGAAGCTACAACATCTTTAAGCTGGCAACGTTCAAGGCTCTGCATTATAAGTGTTGTATGGATAAGTTGAATGCTTATATAGTTATATATAAAGAATGCCCACAGAACATGTAAACCTTCACATTAATTACCTTCCATATTTCTTCATCTGAGTACTCCCCAATAGGGTCTATGTTGCTTCTCACGGTTCCTTCAAAAAGAACAGGTTCTTGTGGGATGATTCCAAAGCGAGACCTAAGATCATGAAGGCCAAGGATGGAAATGTCAATGTTATCGATGATTATCCGTCCTGCTGCGGGCTCCACCAACCTGAAGAAAACTTGGATAAGGGTGGATTTTCCGCCGCCTGTTCGACCAACCACACCAATCTTCTTCCCCCCTTCTATGCTTAGAGTTATGCCTTTAATGACTAAAGGTGTGTTTGGGCGGTATCTGACCTGTTGATTGGATGGATACAAGTAACAAGAATATCAATGTTCCACACAAATGGCAAAAGTGTTTGTCCATGTTTGCATATGACGTTTAAACGGCGTTCATTTTGGTTGTTACCTAGGAAAGCACTTCTGGAATGTAAAAAGAAAGAATGGCTAAAATAAGAGCTCTAACGTTTGAGAAGACAAAAATAAAGCTAAATCTCGTGTGGACAAAAATATAACTAAAACTCATACTATTTGTCTAAAATACCCCTCAATGCTTTGAAAAATTAAAACAGTCCTCTGCATCCCGTCTCCAACAAGACAGAAACTTTGAAAATTGAAACTACAGGAACCCTAAGTTCCGTAATCTGCTTCACCCGCCGCCCTGCATCTCGACTCACGCCGCCGGCATTCCATCCCATGCTACACCGCCGCCTTCACCACAGGCGCGTTCTCCCTCCTCTTTCTTTTCTTCTCTCTCCCACCCGTCTGCAATCTCTCCCCCCATATCCAACCTCTCGCCTGCAATCTCTACCCTTCTCCGACCTTCTTCGGTGACAAACCTCAGTATTTGGCGGCGGCAGCGAGAGACCTCTTCGGTGATCTCCGGATCTGGTTCTACGGTGGCGATAGTATACTTCGATGGCGGCGGTGACATTAAACTTCTTCAGCTGCGTCAACTCAGTTTCAGATCTGAGTGGGGGAGACAGGGGCTTAGGAATATGGGAAGGGCCTAGGACAGGGAGTTAGGGCGGAAGAGGGGGCAGGACAAGGGGCTAGGGAGGTGGATGGGGGCCGGGGAGGTTGCTGGGGGTTAAGGAGGGGGCGGGCAATTGAGTCGGGGTGGGTTGGTTGGCGGCTGCAGCGGTCACTGGGTCACTCGGCGGCGGCAGTCACCAAAATGGGGGATGGAGGTCACTAGACCGGGATGTGTCACTGATCAGAGAATGGATGTGCTTGGTGGTCACTGAAGTCACTATCAGCGACAGTGACTGGCCGGTGCAACGGCGGCGACTGGCCGGAGCGATTTAAGAGATTAACTGTGGCGGCGGCCGGTAGACAATGGGGTTGGCGATTTAAAATTTGTGTGAATAATGTTTGTAACTTTAATTGTATACTGTTTGGTCACTGAGCTTTTGTCACTGGTGTTTGTCACTGAAGTTGTTGAAGTTGAACAATTAGTCACTATAGGTGTGTCAGTGTAGCTTGGTCACTAATGGCGGAAGTCACTATGACGGAGGTCACTGAATGGTATGTCACTGTGACGGACTAGGTCACTATTTGATAAAGTCACTAGGGGTCAGGGGTAATTTAGTAAGTGTAATGTTAATTAGTCACATTTTTGGAAATTAAAGAGAAAGTTAACTTTTTTGTCCATTTGCTAATTTTTAGTAATATTGGTGACCTAACCCAAGTTTGGAAATCGAAAAAACATAGTAGTCTTATTCTGGAATTCCAAACTCTATTTAATCCTATTTTGGGAAATCTCCCAATATGATCCGTAATCAAAGTTAATTACTACGTATTATTTTACATACATTATGATTTCTTAGAAACAGTCTTTATATTGAAAATATGATGGAAAATCAATTTTTAATTACTTTTTACATATACTTTGATGTCTTAGTCTTTATATGATTGAAATATAAAAATAAATTGAGTTCGAAGAAATATTTAAAAATGATACTGAGTTTGCAGCAAGTTTTTGTTTTTGTAACATTTTCTTTCCACCCAAATTCCATCTCCATTGTCTTCCTATATCTTTTTCCTACCACTTTTCAAGTTCTAAAAGGGCCCCAAATCTTGCCTTCCACTGCTTAGAATTGAATTCCATGATTTTCAAGAAAAATGCAAAAACTTTCTATGAAAGTGGAATATTGTTTGGCTGCTCCACACAAAGAGTCTCCTGGAAGTCCTTTTATTTCCCTTGGAAACCAAACGTGAAACAAATAATAGAAGGCCATTCAAGTTTGATATTGGATCGGTTTCAGATGCTAATTAAAGACACTCTCATCTTAGCTCTAATTAGGGAATCGAGACAACCATGATATTATTTGGTCAGAAGTAAATTACAAAACTAACCTGTAAGTCTTCAAGTTCAACATTTCCTTTGTTTGGCCAGTTTGGCGGTGGAACAGTGTCCTTCTTTCTCCATTGTGCTTCTGATGGTATGTTTGTAAACTGTTTAACCCTCTCAACAGAAACCATTTTATTTTCCACAAAGCAACTAACAAATATTGTCCAGAACAGCGAGGCATTGAGGGACAATCCATATGACAGAGACAAGCCAACATTTTCTGTACAACCGAGAACACATATGAAATATAAGAAATAAGGAAAAAATCAAATATGACTCGTGATCATTAAATAACGCTTGTGGTTTCAATCTTCGAGTTCTATTTCAATAGACTTACTAGAACTCAATTGCTCGTTTGAGTTTAATATTCATTAGCACTGAGGTTTCAATCCTTACATGTCACGTAATGGGAATTGGAAGAGTAACCCAATACGTGGATGTTTTGGAGCTGTTTATATTTTCTTTTTCTTGTTTTTCTCTTCTAATCAATCTGATAGGAAGAGTCTTATATTTTACTTCACGTTTATGTGTAATGGCGTACAACAGTAAATACAATGGAGTATATAATATATACCTGGCTTGATGATGCTGCTAGGCAACACAATCATGAACACTGCAGAGGAACATAGAATGAAACTTCCAATAAGTTCTAATCGGCACCCTAACCATTCATTAGACCCATTATTATGGAAGTCCATTCGCAAGTTTGCATTGACCCGGTTGACATTTTCTAGGCTGAACCCTTCCTGTTTTCTAAAGCAACGTATTGTCATAACACCAGCAATACTTTCTGAGAAATGATGGATAACAGGTGCCTTCGTGATAGAGTCTAGCCTCGTCAATTCCCGTGAAGTTGCAAGAAAGTATCCCTGATATATTAAAGTGGGACACACGAGTTTATGTTAAGACTTTATATTAGGAAGGTGACAGGCTAATAATCTACTTCGAGAGATAACATAACTTGAAATTGAACTAAATAAGGAAGGTTAAACAACAAGATATTTATGAAGAAAATGTTCATACCCGGCACCAGAAGTTAAGCCAACCAAGCGGAATCAAAAGCACTACAGTTGGCCAAGTATATTGGCAAGTCATGATGATGATGCCAATGAGTGTGATGTAAAATGACAGTGTCAGACTCATGAAAAAGGGAAGGAAAACATCAATGTTGGTCTGATCATTGGATGCCTGCACATATTCAATAGGAAATAATGACGGAGATATATTACTATCATAAATGCTGGGGAAAAAATGTGACTATACTTTAGTGACCATAATAGTAACTTTGGTGACCATTATTATATTCAAATTTACACTGAAGTAACCATGACGATAAACTCGTAGTAACTCTAGTCACATTTTTTCCATAAGTTCTATTTTGGTACTCCCTCCGTTCCTAAATAAACTTCCAACTTTCCTTTTTCGTCCGTTCTAATTAAAACTTCCACTTTCCCTTTTTGGTAAAGAATTTGTGGTTCACAACATTTCTTACACATTTCTCTCTCCTCTGCACAACTCTCCACCACACAATATCCACTATCTTAAACTTTGTGCCAAACCCATTTGGAAGTTAAAATGGGAACGGAGGTAGTAATATTTAAGGAAAACCTCGTTAAATAAAACCTTCACATTAGTCTCTCCTGCAAATTCGTAACTGCACTTCTGAAATATAAGGTATTACATATTTATGGTCATATAATAACTCAACTATAAGATCCTAGGTTACTTCTATTCTTAGATCTGATCTTTTAGAATGAATCTCCAAGTCTTGATGAGGCAGTCCGGACTCATTACGCTCAAACGAGCAGTTTTTGTCTTGACCAAGATTCATACTAACTCACATATAGTATTAGACTACTTCTCTTATCAAATTAATATTTTAAGGTGAAGTCTCAAGTCTAAATTTTACATGTTAATATTGAGAATTGGGGTTCTATACTAAAAGGGTTCACCGATACAGAATAAGTGCAAGCCTTATACTACTAATATTGTAATTGATTATGGTATCAAATTTGCAGAATTTGAGGATTTACCCGACTGAGAATTCTGCCAGAAGGTGTTGTATCAAAAAAGGACATAGGAGCATGAAGTATGCTGTGGAGAATTTGACTAAAGAATATTTGAGCAGTCTTGAGGCCCATAATTGTGACAGAGTACATTCTCAGCACTATCAGCACAGATGATAGGACCGCGATAATACCATATATCTCAAGAAACCAAGAAGCGTTGAATGATGCATATTGTTCTTCAGAGGTTTCGTATGCCAACCAGTAGTCGCTCGCCATCTGTGTCCCTTGCCAAAGTAAGGATAGCATCACAACAGTCACTACACCCCACCAACCAAACGCCTCCGTGCAATATAATTTGTAGACCTGGAAACCAACAGTTCCTGACCCTCTTTCCTCTTCCTTTATCAGTTTGGAACTTCCATTACTGGACTCTGGTCGCTGCAGAGTTCCATCCTCACTCTCACCTGCCTGTTTAAATGATGTTTGTGTAGTTTGTTCCTTTTTCGGTATATCTTTGCTATCTAGAGTGGTTTCCACATCAACAAGTTCCAGTGATGACTCATGGGCAGCTACTAGTGCTTTAAAATCCAAGCCAGACTTCAAAAGATCATTATATTTTCCTGATTGCACAATCATCCCATCCCGCATCACCTGGTTGTTAGTCAGAAACTAGTCAAACAAGGTTCATTGCTTTAAAAAATACTTGACATCTTTTTAAAAGCTAAAAATGGAGTCCTGCTTAGATTTATACACTTAAAACTAATAAGCATGAGAAGGGTAGTTAAAGGTTAAAAGTCATAAATTACCTAACTAATATACCAAACACTCTTCATTTCTACTTTTTTAAAATCACTTTTATAATCATAAACTACCAACTTTTAAAATAAAGTACTTTTTCCATAAGGCTGTATATTGTCTTATTAGCAAAGGCAAACACTACACCTAAGAGCTTGTTTGGTTGGTTGGTTGTATATTGTATTATAAGCCAGATCCAGCTGCTAAATCATATATTTAAATATTTTATTTTAATAAACATCTGCTGAGTTATAATATTTAAATAATTTTTTAAGACCTCAGAGAGTGTCAATCAAATCATTTCAGCCACATAAACCATTTTAAACCTTGTTGAACAGGCACTAATGCTTTCAGTATAGTGCAGTGACATTGAGGGTTTTGGAGAGAAATACTTACTAGGATCTGGTCAACATTGTGCAAGAAGTCTATTTGATGGGTAACCAATATCGTTGTCTTATTCTTGAGAGCTCCTTTCACACATTGCTGCAAAAGAATTCTTCAAACTGTCAATATATTTTCTTAAAGAAAAATGGGCAAGAGACACAAATTGTCTTGAATATAAGAACATGCAGTAGAGACACCTGCCTACATTACTCCTTTTCATCCTGACATGCCATTTTTTACATGGATACCTTATTATAACTTCAGGTTTCATCAACCAAAAAGAAGACAACCTAAATGTCTAATATCTTGTATGTTTTCCCCTTCCTACAAAGATAAATTTCGTAGCTACTGTTCATGCAGTGGACTTTAACTTTCATTAAAACTGTGATCTAAATTTATGTACGAAACCTTTCTCATATTCGAATTCATTTATTGTGATGCAATAAAGCTTTTAGTATAGTCTCTAACTTCTAAATTGTAATTACAAATGCTATTTTATGTGTTATTAAAAGTAAAATGAGATTTATCATCACGCGAAAATAGTAAAAACGAAGTTTAAGTTTGAGACGTAGTAGTGATTTATGTTTTTCTTATATTTGTTCGATGAGTAATTGCTTAACATGACCTACCTAAACACTCCTCCCCATATAAAAGGTCCCCAAGTATTGTCACCTTAAAGATTTCAGAACCAGTGTGAGCATCAACAGCACTAAAAACATCGTCAAGCAGGTAAATGTCACAATCCTGATAAACAGCTCTTGCAAGTTGAATCCGCTGCTTCTGGCCACCACTAAGGTTAATACCACGCTCACCAATTTCTGTCTGATCACCATACTCCATCATTTCCATGTCCTTTTCCAAGCAGCAAACCCTAATGACTTTCTCATATCTCTCTTTATGCATTGTTGAACCAAACAGGATGTTCTCCTGTATGGTCCCATTCTGAATCCATGACGACTGAGCAACATAGGCGGTTGAACCGCAAACTCGTACCTATAGAAATGGATATAAGTGTAAAGAATGAGACTATACCTAGCTAAATCAAGATTGTCTAACACTTAGTGTGGGCTTTATGCATTCATATCTGGCCGAAGACACTTTACACTAAAATGCTAAGTTAAGGGACTTGTTAACATTGTGCTTTTGAGGCTTTGATATAAAAATGAAGAAAAAAATTCACTTCTAAGACACAATTAACATACTGGTATTTCCAAAGCAACCATACCAGAAATCTAGAACATACCTTCCCCGAGAGTTTGTGCATCTCACCAAGAACAGATCCCAAAAGAGATGATTTCCCAGACCCGACGGTCCCCACGACAGCTACAAGTTCCCCTTTCTTGATTTCAAAATTTAGATCTTTAAGCACTCGTTCGCCTCGTTCATCATCCCACCTAAAAGTTCCGCCTTTCACTTCCACTGCAACACCATCCCCACACCCTACGACCCTTTCAACCGAATTGTCAACCAACTCCTTACTCATCATATATTTATCCAACCTCTCAAGAGATATCATCGCTTGCGAAAGTGAGATCATGGATTGTGGGAAGTTTCTGATTGGCTCCTGTAACATCTTGAAGATCGAGGTCGCCGTAAACACTTTCCCGGCATCAAGTGGGACCCCCAACAAAATTGCACTCCCAAACGTGAGTGTGGCCACGAGCAACGGTGTGCTCCAAAGGACGATCATGTTCCCCGAAACTGAATACATGAACTTAGATAGCCACCCGTACTCCACCTCACGAAACGATCGTATCCTCTCGTTAAAATGCTCTTCCCAAGCCTGAAACTTTATAACACGCATATAATTGAGCATCTCGTTCGTCGCCTTCATTCGAGAATCACGATTCTTCATGATATTGAATTGGAACCGGTTATTTCTTCGGGCCCCAAGCACAATAAACGCTAATATAGCAACAAGCCCAACAAGGGTTACAACTACGGAACCTCCAAGGCTGGTGTACAGTATGGCTAAGGCTATTGAGACTTGGACCGGCATAAGCCATATGGCATGTAGCTGAAGCATCATATCAGACAACTGCTGAGCATCTACAGCCATGTAGTTCACTATCTGCCCGACCCCATGGTCTTGTCTTGCCGAACAAGTAAGCCTCAACCCCTTCTTGTATAAGGAAGTGATGAGGGTTGACCGGATGAGCATTCCGAGCTTTTGGGAATTGAAGTTGAAGTGATGAGAAGTTAAAACTTCAATGAACTTTGCAACCATGAGAATGCCGACCAGATAATATCCTTCATAAGGCGACGTCCTTTTCCCAGCAGTGAAGTCAACGAATCTCTGAATGAGCAATGGCCCAACATACATCACACAGAGCCTTAGGATTGCTAGAGCAGCTGTAAACAGAACCTCTTTCCAGAAGCAACGGAATAACGTTGTCCGGACAGGATGTTTCGAGTTCTCTTCTCCCTTAGGCCAATTTCTCTCGAAAAGGTCCGACATTCTTTGAGCTCTATGTTCATGAGAAAGGGTAGGAACGTCATCAAGCTTCAGAGGAGATTTGTAGCCTTTACTCAGTAATGGGTTCATCCAAAACCAGAATGTTTTAGAAAGAAGTGAGGCTGAGGCATAAGCTGTCAAATTAGATTTTCCCGGAAGAGTAGTTTCATACTCTCCAGTTTCTGATTCGGTTACTGATATCCCAGTTGATCCTCTAATTCCAACAATCAGAAGAATGGTTGAAATCGGGAATACAACTAATGAGCTTATATCATCTAATATCAAATTAGGATCACTTTCTTGCAGAGAGACTAAATGAATAGTCCCAGAACATAAGAACAGGGAAATTACAACAAAGTCTGCTATCCAGAATACACGTAGGGATAGCAGATGTTTAGTGGCTTGAAATTTTTTCTCATGCCTTATGAGGAATGTGATGACTAAATGAGTTATTGAATGAAAAAGCCAAAAAAATCCATCTATTATATTCCATGGGGGTGAAACACTCCTACAAAATGTGAGAATGCTTAATACCAGAGAGAAAACTGCTAATATAGCAGAAAGTGATATGGATAATTTGAACCAAATATCAGTGTTAACAACTTGAGGTGTGTGGGAATGGATAAGGGGCCGTTTGTCAACTCCATTTGGTGATTCCCTCCTATTACACCGGAATTGGGAATAGAGCTTTTGGAGAGCAAAGAAGAGCAGAGCAAAAAGGAACAAGATATCAATGGCTGATAAAAGAGCTCTTTGAGGACATGGAGAAAGGAAGATGAATCTTAGCCATTTGATTGCAGGCAAAACAAACAAGTCCTCCCCTGGGGCGGCGCAAGAAACAGATGTGATCCAAGAAGAAGCTGAAGATGACATCTTGTTTCCCGCCACTTTCATGCCCGACCCTCCAATCTCTAACCAGCTTGAAGTCCTAAGTTTTCTGGGAAAACAAAAAAAAACAAAAGTTTGTTTTTTTAAAACCAAAGAATTAGCAGCTTGAAAAGCTCGAGTGCTCTTGATCAAATTGGTCACGTTTTTATAAACTGGATTCTGTATTTATAATAATTACTAGTATTAAATAACATTGTCCCTACCCACACCCACGCAAAAAAGTCCAAAACGCTTTTTTCTTCTTGTTGAAATTAAACAACCCAATAATTTGGCTTATAATCATTTAAAAATGACAAAGGCGTGAAGAAAAAGATGAGTTGTTTCCTGGAAAAATATGGGAAAGACTGATATAAAGCAAACAAAAAAGTAGACTTTGCAGCCATTTCAGTAAAAGCTAAAACAGTAGGTCGCACTTAATAATTACTCGAAGTTATAAGATTCAAGAGAAAACATATTGAAGAGCATGCAAGGAACAGAATAAAGCAGAAAAGAACTCCTTTTAACAGGGGTGGGTGGGGGTAATTGGGTCAACGCAGATTCCACCTTGACAGCTTCTTGAACTGAAGTAGCTACGACGGAGAATATGAGAAACCGTCGTGAGGGAGTAGCTACGCCGCCTACACGGAAGAGCTAGACAGCGGCCGCTGCGGAAGCTGGGTAGTTGGGATTCCACAAGCCCATAATTCTGGCCGGGTGCAGTGTTATTTATGTTAATATGTACGTGTAGTTTATACTCTTCTTAGGTGGGGTTGATTGAGATGTGTGCGTCACAGAATAATTTGAAGTACGACTTGTTTATTAAATATGTAAAATAACACTTAGAGGTTACTATGCTAAAAATGCATCGGGCCTCTGCAAGTATCGGGGACAGAGCCTCATTCTCTATCTGTCAGATTGGGATTATAGTTCAATTTACATCCTCACAACGTACCTTCCGGTCGGGATTGGGGACCCTCAGGGATGAGGAGTCATCCTTTTTTGAAGAACGATTTGTTTATTAAATTTGTAAAATAATACGGAGTACTCAATAGTCCGTGGGAGTGTTTCTTTCAAGTCCGACAATATATTTACTCCAACCCCACATAAATATTATCTTCCGGCCTAAATAATCTTCACATTTTTCTTTTTTGTAGCCGTCCAAATTAAATTTCACAGTTTTATTTTAGAAAGAAAAAAAGTCAAATAAAGCTTTATACTATTATGAAATAGTCACATAAGGTCATGTACTCAATAAAGTGTCATATAAGTACCTCTACTTGTAAAAATCAATCAAATGAGTCCTAATGACCTATTTAACACCTCTTAATCCCGATTTCGACGTACTTTTGACCATCTTTTTAGAATACATTATACGGCATATGTCGAATATTTAACTAAGATTGGTTGAAATACAAGTCAAAAAAATCGACATGTAAGCTAAAATCGGAATTAGGAGGTGTTAAATAAGTCGTTAGGACTCATTTGATTGTTTTATACAAGTAGAGGTACTTATATGACACTTTATTAAGTACATTTACTTATATAACTTTCATAATAGCAGAAGGCCTTAATTGACCATTTTCTCTTTTAGAAAAGTATTTTATCTGAAAATACCCTTTATATGCCTAAGCATAGGGGTGTTCACCGATCCAAAACCGGACCGGACCGGACCGGAACCGGTTAGGACCGGAACCGGAATCATCATTTTCTATGGACCGAAGACCAGACCTAAATCTAACCGGTCCAGACCGGTCCAGATCTGAATTTTCCAGTCCGGTCCGGTTTTGACCCTAATTGACCCGATTTTAGAAAAAGACATTATCTTAGAGTGATCTTAACCGACACCAACTTTTTTAGGAATAAGGCATGGATGTTGTTGATGTTGTTTCAAACTATAATTTTATGTGCGGATATGCTATATAGGCTAAATAATTATTTGGCTCATTTATTAATTTTGGAATATAGTCATCAAAACTATTCAATCGTAATAATTAGTTTCTCACAGTAATTCAAACTACAATTTTTTGTGTATATTAAAATGGCAAAATGTATTGTAGAGTAATAAAAACTAAATTACGTCAAAAAAAATACTACATATAAACTACATGCACACCTACAAATTAAGAAACAAATAAAAAGCAATTTCGAAAAATCAAACAAATATAAACTACGATCATAACAGTGCACTTGCACATAAATAAACAAATCAAAAACGGCTCAGAAAATAATTAGACATCAAATATACATGTACTCCGTATATATTCATTTATATAATAAAAGACAAAAGTAAGCCATAAGCATAATGACTAATGATACATAATGAAATATATATTTTACGGAACAATAAGATACCGGTCCATTCCGGTACGGACCTGTTATTTCCGGGTTTGACTCGGACCGGACCGGAACCCGGAATCTTGAAAAACTAAGGACCCAAACCCGGACCGGTTAATACCGGTCCGGTCCGGTCCGGTTCGGTCCGGTTCATACCGGTCCGGTTCCGGTCTAAAATACGGTCCGACCCGATTAATGAACAGCTTTACCTAAGCAGTTACCCCTTTGTCCGGCCCACCCATGTCACTTTTATTCGCCTTATGCGCTTCAATCTCTCCCTCGAACCTTATCTCTATGTTCTTCGTCTCTCTGTCTTCCATCGCCCTCCACCGCCTCCAACCTCCTAACCTCCATCATCGTCCCTCCTTCTCCTCATTTATATCGCCACCCCTCCCTCTCCTCACCTCGATCGTCACCCCTCGTAGTTCTGACCTCCATCTCAATGGATTCCAAACCATCACCCCCTAAAAACCCTAAGGCAGTCTAGCTTCCCAAACCCACACACGTTACAGAGCTTGGCCCCTCACGATGTGACACCGCTCCCAGTTTGAACTGGGATTAATGAATCCATTAATATTAAAATTCAATAGAAATTACAAATACAGATGTCGATGAGGATGACTAGTTGAGTTCGTGAATATTTATTCATTTTGAAAACTAGTTACAAAAAATATTAATCATATGAGAAATGATTAATTGATTAAATTAATACCGATTAATTATATTGTGTGTCGGACCCTAAAGGAAATGGGGAGAGACTAACTAGTATATTCTTGGACCACGTTAAATTAGTTAAAAGTCCAAGGATAAGAAAATAAATTATATACGAATTTTCGGGCCGGATAAAAGGTAGAGGAATAAAATAAAGGGGCTTTTTGAGCCACTTTCTAATAATAGAAAGGTAAAGGGGTTTAAGCCCGGAACATTGGAGAGGAATATCCAATACATTTTAGGATCGATCTATTTAGGTCTACTAGCCTAAAATAATATAAGTAAACAAATAAAAGTCATTTGGGTCGGAGTAAATTAAAAGGAGCAGACCGTGAACCCAACCCAACTAAATTGACCCAACCTTCTAAAAATAGAAGATAAGGGAGGAGAGTCCCCTTATCCTCTCATTTTGGAGAAGCCTCCTACGCCACTTAGAGAGGGAAGAAAGCTCACAAGGAGCTTCACACGTTCTTGGAGCAAGGAAGGAGAAAGAAAGGGATTCCGGGAAGAAGAGAGCTCGTTTCTAGGTAACCGAAATGCTATTCCCGTCCTACTAGTTATTTAATATATTTAGTGATTATGATTTTGAAGAAATCATATGATGGATTCTAGGGGATGTTCTACATGTTTAAAAGTGTAGAAATATGTTATAAAGTGTTGGTTTTTAACCTAGAAGAGTTGTGGAATCGATAGGAATCGAAATCGCCGGAAACCGCCATTTCTAGGAGCTGTTTTCGTGCTGCAGGGCCCGAAAGCCGGGCAGCTTTTGCAAAAGCCGGGCGGCTTTTGCCCTCTGCCAGCCAAGTCCATTTCAGATCATTTCTGATCGAAGGTTTAACGAAGGGGCTTCAATAGGAAGGCTTGTTGGACATATTTAAGATGAGGATGACTGACTATATTGCTTATAATTAGTGAGTTAATTTCATAAGATTACCTAAGGTAATTAAATGTGATTTTCATGGATTTTTAATGATTAATAATGCCTAAATGAAAAATACTATTGATATGAGTAAGTGAAGCATGATATACAAATTTAGAATAAATTGTGTATGATTATGTGATATGGAAGTGATGGCATGATGATGGAATTAACTATGAAATGTGGTGATAAAATATACTTTTACTTCATGTAAGGGATTCATGAATGGATAAAAGTGGTATTTTTATATTGGGATTAAATCATAATTGGATTGGAAAATCAATTGAGATGAAATATTTGGGTATGAATTAAGAACTTGGTTGTTCTAAGATTATCCGACTAGTATTGAAATACTAGTCAGGAGATTGATATAAATGAATGATGGAATTAATCCTAAGAGGTAGGACTGTGAATAGAGATGCCTTAAGTAGTCTTAAGAGATACTTTAAGGTCGGATTGTATGAACACTAAGGTGTGTTAGGGGTAGGCCTAAAGGCTATCCAAGTGAATTGATTCTAGGCATAGGATTTGCTTGAGAATTGGACTATGAAAATAAATTAGAGTCGGACTCTAGGATTGCATGGAAATGTAGTTGGGCCGAGCCCTTGCCATGTAATGTGATTAGCATGGAAATGTAGTTGGGCTGAGCCCTTGCCATGTAATGTGGTTAGCATGGAAACGTAGTTGGGCCGAGCCCTTGCCATGTATTTGTAGTCTTCATGGAAACGTAGTTGGGTCGAGCCCTTGCCATGAAGTTATGGTTAGTATGGAAACATAGTTGGGCCGAGCCCTTGCCATACAATTTCAATGTGTTAAATTGAGTTGAAGGGTTGTATAGAAATGTAGTTGGGCCGAGCCCTTGCTATACAATCGGGACTCGAGGGAACCCTATGGGGTTGTCGTGACTTGTAGTCACCGGGAATTAAAATGGTGAATTCTAAATGAATATGGGCCCACGGGCCGACTACTTGACTTTATATAAAGTAAGTATATTATTTTAAAAAGGGGTAACCGAGGGTTATGGCCTATATATATCACCCTAGATTGGTGGTCTTAGAAATTGAAACGTTGATTATACTTAGTATAGTTGTCATTGTACTTGTCAAATGCTTCCAAGTACTGACCTCCCCTTCACGGGGGAGGCCACCTCACAGTTTCAGGTAGGAGTTGAGCTTGCTACCAGTGCCCGTTGCTTCGGGAAGATCTAGGAGAGAAGACGTGGTTCATGCTTCCTCCGTTTCAGTTTCAAAACAATTATAATAATGCTCATGGATATTATTTTCAGAATAATTATTTTTGGGGGCTTGTATGCCTAATTATGCCAAGTGTGGCTTGAACACTTGTGTTAACTATTTCCGCTGTTTTAAATAAATGTTTTACATTATGTTTGTTTATGGATGTACTATGTGTGAATGGTATTCAAGACGCCTTGTATAGTATGGATGAGTTGGACTGCGATTGACTATTCGTACTGTACGGCGGGTTATTGACGTGTCCGACTAGGTCTGGGGCGTGACAATTTAATTGGTATCAGAGCCTTAGTCCGTAAACATCATAATGAAGCTTCAAAATTCCTTTTTGAAAATGAATTTGAAAACCATGAGCATAAGGTTTTGTACTTATAAAACTTTTGGTGCTTGAGTTGCAATGTCTCTAATTGTTAAGATGGTACCCTTAACAATTGGTATGGCGGTGATTTGAGCCAACGGTGTCTTTAAGTGTCTATCTGTCAATTGACAGTTGATACGAGCCTAATGACTCATTCTCGATTTCTTTTAGAAATGAAACGTATCGGTAAAGTTACTAGAAGGAACCCGACTGGCCGGGCACCGGGAGGGTCCGAGCATGGCAGTAGGGGGACTTCTAGTGTGTCAAGGGGACAAGGCCGTGTAGGCCACTCACTGACCGTAAGTGACGGTCATGTTGAAACAGTGGACGAGCATTATGAGTCTGAGGAGGATTCAACTTACCGACCAGGGACTGATCCGGTTGAAACCCCATATGATGGGGAAGACGATGACGTTAGTGGAGAGAGTGATGATAGTGACGCTCTAGAAAGAATTGAGGAATTGCTC